TTTATAATAGCTAAATGCATATTTTGAAAGTTTTGACATTAGGAAACATTGATATTACAATGCAAATTTTATCAGAACAATCCTTAAAATATTTACATATAGTAAAAAGTGCAGGGTGATTTAAATTCTATTATTCATAGGGAAGATAATTTTCTAATTTGTCTTTGCTGTAGCTGGTAGTCCTCTGACATTAACCATCAGTAACCCACCCAGATTCATCATTCAAGTAGGATACATGTGATATCATTTCAAATTGCTACAATATATTAATAGAATTATCTGAAGAGCTAAAATCTTATCAGTGTTACAACTAATTTGCTAGTTAAAAAATGTAATTTTTTTATTAGTGACAGTGAATAAAACAAAATGAAATTATTGTAAGCAGTGAAACAGAACTAAATCTTGATATTGCAAAAGTGTCAGAGGTTATAAAAAGCCCATGCCTGGTTCATTTGTCTTCATGTGAAAATTATCCAAGATTAATTAAAAATATTTGAATACACTTGATGAGTATTACATTAAGAAGCAGGTCTGGCTACATATTATTGTGATCTCTTAAATTGTCTATACAAGTATGAAAAAGAATATTATGATGGTGCAGGTAGAATTAAGATTAAAAGTGAAATGTACCAAGTAAAAAACAAGAAAAAATTTAACTGGTGTGTTGCTCTAGTTTACCTGGTTTATTTAAATCTTCTAGTAAATTTAAAGCAGCATGCGTTTGATGTCACAGTTTAAGCTGAACTGTTTAGGTTTCAATTGACTATTGCTTGTATGAGTTTAACCCTATATATCAAGAGCCTTACATTAATTAAAGATGTCAAGAACTAATTAGCGTTCTCAAGACTGGTGGAAACCCTTGCTGCAGTGATCCTGCCCTGGTGGAATTCACAGTCTTGAGGGATATGGGCCAGGTGAAGAGTAGAGTCAGGACTTTGAATTTCAAGAGAGCAAAATTTCAGTTGTTTAAGGAATTAGTGGATGGGACTCCCTGGGAAACTGCCCTCAGGGATAAAGGAGTTGAACAGAGTCGGCAGCTCTTCAAGGACATTATTCTTAGAGCACAAGAGCTCTTGATTCCCACATGCAAGAGATCAAGCAAGGAAGACAGGAAACCAGAATGGCCTAGTAAGGACCTCCTGGTCAAACCTAAAGTACGAGAAGGTAATGCACAGGCTGTGGAAACAGGGACATGGGAACATGGAAAGAATATAGGGATGCTGCCCAAATGTGTAGGGATAGGATCAGGAAAGCAAAGGCACAGCTGATACTGAATTTGGCAAGGGATGAGAAGAATGAGAAGGGCTTCTACAGGTACATTGGCCAGAAAAGAAAGATTAAAGAAAATGTATTCCCTTTTCCAGCCTGATAAATAACACAGGAGAACTGGTGACAACTGACATGGAAAAGGCTTACGTACTCAACATTTCTTTTTGCCTCAGATTTCAATGAAAATCTGTCTTCCCACAGATCTAAAGCCCTGAGCCTCAAGACAGTAACTGGAGGAAAGAAGTCCCTCCTATCATAGGAGAAGATCAGTTCATGACTACCAGAGGAACCTGAGTGCACACAAGTCCATAGCACCCAACAAGATGCATGCCAGGGTCCTAAGGGAATTGGCTGATACAGTTGCCAAGTCATTCTTCATTATATTTGCCATGGCAGTCAGGAAACTACCCTGCTGACAGGAAAAAGGGAAATATTGTACCCATTTTTATAAAAGGTAAAAAGGGGGACCCTGGAAACAACCGACCAGTCCGCCTCACCTCCAGCCTGGTAAGATCATGAAATGCATTTTCCTGAAAAGTATTGAGTCCAGTATATTTTAGCTTATTCATCAGTAACTTGGATGAAGGGATAGAGTGTCTTCGCTGCCGGTTTGCTGACCATACAAAACTGTGAGGAGTGGCAGATACTCCAGAGTGCTATGCTGCCATTCAGAAGGATCTCAACAGACTGGAGAGATGGGCAGAAAAGAGCTGTCTGAAATTCAACAAAGGCAAGTGCACAGTCTTGCACCTGGTAAGGAATAACCACAGACACCACTACAGGCTGGGGGTGATCTGCTGGAAAGCAGCTCTGTGGAGAAGGACCTTGGGGATCCTGGTGGACATCAAGCTGCCCATGAGCCAGCAGTGCCCTTGTGGCCAAGAAAGCAAATGGTATCCTGGGGTGCATTAGGAGGAGCATTGCCAGCAGGTGGAGGGAGGTGATCCTGCCCCTCTACTCAGCCCTGGTGAGGCCTCACCTGGAGTGCTGTGTCCAGGTCTGGGCTCCTCAGTACAAGAGAGACATGGAGATCCTCAACCAAGTCCTGTGGAGAGCTATAAAGATGATTAGAGGACTAGAGCAACTTACTTATGAGTAAATGCTTAGGAAGCTGGGCCTGTTCAGCTTGGAGAAGAGATGACTGAGGTGATCTTACCAATGTATATAAGTATCTAAAAGGAGGGTGACAAGAGGATGGGGCCAGGCTCTGCTTGGTGGTGCTGAGCAATAAGATGAGAATCAACACGCAGAAGTTGGAACACAGGAAGTTCCAACTGAACATTAGGAAGAACTTTACTGTGCAGGTGACTGAGCATTGGAACAGGTTGCCTAGAGAGATTGTGGAGTCTCCTTCCCTGGAGATATTCAAGAACTGTCTGGATACAATCCTAAATAATTTATTCTAGGGCCCTTGCTTGAGCAGATAGGTTGGACAAGTCAACCTCCAGTGGTCCCTTCCAACTTACCCATTCCATGATTCTTCATATGTCAAAACATGGAAAACAAGGAGGTGATGAGAGACACAGTCATTAGAGACACAGCCAACATGACTTCACCAAAGGCAAATTATGTCTGACTAATCTAGTGGTCTTCTACAAAAGAGTGACTACATCAGTGGAAAAGGGAAGAATTATGGATGTCATCTACCTGGACTTCTGTAAGGCCTTTGAAATGGTCCCCCAAAACAATCTGGCCACTAAATTGGAGAGATATGGGTTTGATCAATGGACTGTTAGATAGATAAGAGACTGTCTGGATGGCCACATCTGAAGAGTTACAGTCAATGGCTCCATGTCCAAATGGAGATCAGTGACTAGTGGTGTCCCCCTGAGGTTCATACTGGGATCAATACTGTTTAGTATCTTCATCAACGTAACACACAGTGGGATCGAGTGAACCCTCAGCAAGATTCCAGATTACACCAAACTGAGTGATTCAGTTGGTTTGCTATGTAGCATCCAGAGGGACCTTGACAGGCTTGAGGAGTGGGCCCATGCAAATCTCATTAAGTTCCCCAAGGACAAGTGCAAAGTACTGCACCTGGGTCAGAGCAATCCCCAGTATCAATACAGACTAGGGAATGAACAGATTGAGGGCAGCTCTGTGGAGAAGGACTTGGAGATGCACGGGTGGACGAAGAACTGGCCATGAGCTGGCAATGTGCATTTGCAGCACAGAAAGACAATCACATCCTGGGTTGAATGCAAAGAAGCATGGCCAGCAGGTCAAATGAGGTAATTCTCCTTCCCTATTTCACTCCTGTGAGACCCCACTTAGAGTCCTGCATTCAGCTCTGAGGTGCCCAGAACAAGAAAAACTTGTTAGAGTGGTTCCAGAGGAGGGACACAAAGATGATTAGAGGGCTGGAACACCTCTCCTATGAGGAAAGACTGAGACAGTTGGGGATTTTCAGCCTGGAGAACAGAAGGCTTTAGGTAGTCTTTCCATACTTAGAGGGCTTATAAGAAAGACAGGGACAAAATTTCTAGTAGGGCCTGTAGCAGTAGGACAAGGGATGAACACTTAAAGAGGGTAGGTTTTGATTAGACATAAGAAAGTGTTTACAATGAGGGTGGTGAGACACTGAAACAGATTGCACAGAGAAGTTGTGGATGCCCCATACCTGGGAGTGTTCAAGGTCAGAATGATCAGGTCTTTGAGCAACCAGATCTAGTGTAAGATGTCCCTGCCCATACTGTGATTGGTTTTGGGCCCTTTATGACAAGAAAGATGCTGAGGTGCAGAGAAGGATGAGGAAGCTGGTGAAGGGTCTGGAGAGTAAGTCATATGAGGAACGGGGCTGAAGTAGCTGGGGTTGTTTAGCCTGGAGAAGAGGTGGCTCAGGGGAGACCTTATCACTCTCTACGACTTTCTGAAAGGAGGTTGTAGCAAGATTTTCAGTCTCATCCACATTCTTATGCATGCAAGCATCCCCAGTGAACTGCACTGGTTTTGGCTGGGAGAGAGTTAATTTTCTTCACAGTAGCTGGTATGGGGCTGTGTTTTGGATTTGTGCTGAAAACAGTCTTGATAACACAGGATGTTTTAGTTATTGCTGAGCAGGGCTTACACACAGTCAAGGCCTTTTCTGCTTCTCACACTGCGCCACCAGTGAATAGGCTGGGGGTAGACAAGAAGCTGGGAGAGAACACAGCTGGGATAGCTAACCCTAACTGACCAAAGGGATATTCCATACCATATGATGTCATGCTCAGCAATAAAACTAGGGGAGACATTGGCAGGGGGGCCACTGCTTGGGGACTGACTGGGCAGCTGGACTGGCTCAGTCAGTTGGTGAGAAATTGCTTTCATTTGCATCACTTGTCTTTCTTGGATTTTATTTGCATTCTCTGGTATTTTTTCTTTTCTTTATAATTTTTTTATTCCTATCAGTATTATCACTATTGTTTCAATTTTAAAATTAATAAACTGTTTATATGTCAACCCACGAGTTTTCTCCTTTTTATTTTTCTGATTCTCTTCCCCATCCTGCTGGGTGAGAGTGAGTGTCTGTATGATGCTTAGTTGCCAGCTGGGATTAAACCATGATAGCACTATATTATTTACATGTACAGAGTTAAACTAAATGTAAATATTTGCAAGACAAAGTAATGTATTACTGATTCTGCCAACATAATATGCTTTTTGCTACAGAAACATGTCAGCATGCCAGAACATCATAGTGATTAAGAAATATCCCCAAAGATTTAACATAATTATGAAGTACTTACTGTAGCTGGGGAGGCCCGTGTTGTATGAGTCACTGAATGACCAGAATTTTCCATTGAATTGCCAATCAGATAGGTCCCTCCTGAGTTGCTAATGAGCTGTCCTCCTGCAACACCCATCTGAATCCCTCCGGTGCCCACCATACTATGAGAGGAGACCACTGTAGTTGCCTGTGCAGAACTTCCTTCGAAGTAATTTCCCCCAGTGTTTTGGCTATACATCTGGGCTTCCATGTAAGGATAAGTTGTTCGACTTCAGGAAAAGAAAATAAAAGAAGTAGTAGTTATTTATTTGAATTGCTAAAGTGAGGGAAGCATCATTGTAGAGAAGAGTGTACAGTTTAACATTTCATATGTCAAAGTACTGAGTAATTAACTTGGACTCACTGTTAAAATAAGTATTCATTAAGCTTAACAGAAAATGGTTTTAGTCCCATCTGAAGATGGGTGGAGAAAAGTATGACAGAAATTGAAGATATGAGAGCAAGATCTCATTCAAGTATTAATATATTATACAGTAATTTAAAAAACTGTTTTAACTTTTGAAATCCTCCAGTCAAAGCTGGATTTTATTTATATGACATTTATTTTGTATACTGTTTTCAGCTGGAATAGAAGTCATTTTCTTCCTAGAAGTTGATACAGTGCTGCGTTTTGGATTTAGGATGAGAATAATGTTGATAACACACTGATGTTTTAGTTGTTGCTATGTGGTGCTTATACTAAGTCAAGGACTTTTCAGCTTCTCATGTACAGCCAGCAAGAAGGCTGGGGGTGCACAAGAAGCTTGGAGGGGGCACAGCCAAAACATCTGACCCAAACTGACGAAAAGGATATTCCATGTGTGAGCTCACAGCCCAGGAAGCCAACCACATCCTGGGCTGCATCAAAAGGAGAATTGGCAGCAGGTTGAAGGAGGTGATTCTCCCCTTCTACTCATCTCTTGTGAGACCCCTTCTGGAGTACTGAATCCAGTTTTGGTGCCCCCAACATAAGAAGGACATGGAACTGTTGGAGCAAGTCCAGAAGGAAGGTCATGAAGTTGATAGGAGGACTGGAGCACTTCCCCTAGAAACACAGGCTGAGAAAGTTGAGGCTATTCAACCTGGAGAAGAGAAGGTTGTGTGAAGGCCTCATAGTAACCTTCCAGTACCTGAAGGGACCTACAGGGAAGCTGGAGAGGGACTCTTCATCAGGAACTCTAGTGATAGGACAAGGAGTAATGGGTGCAAATTGAAAGAGAAATTTAGGTTAGACATAAGAAAGAAATTTTTTACTGTAAGGGTGGTGAGGCACTGGAACAGGTTGCCCAGGGAGGTTGTAGATGCCCCAAACCTGGCAGTGTTCAAGGCCAGGTTGGATAAGGCCTTGAGCAACCTGATCTAGTAGGTGGTGTCCCTGTCCATGGCAGGGGACTTGGGACTAGATGATCTTTAAGGCCCCTTTTCACAGCCCTTAACATTCTATGGTGTAATGCTCAGCATATAAACTGGGAGGAGTTCGCCAAGGGGCTGGAATCACAGCTCAGGGATGGGCTGGGCATCAGTCAGCAAGTGGTGAGCCACTGCATTTTGCATAATTTGTTTTGTATATTCTATTTTTTTCTCTTCCTTTTTTATCTTAGTAAACTTTCTTTATCTCAACCCATGAGGTTACTGGTGGCTGGTCCCAACAAAAAAGAGGTATGGGCATATACCATTGTATTATTAAACTTTTTGGGGAAAAAGGGATTGAAGGTCTCGAAATCTAAATTACAGTTCACAGAGCCTGAGGTCAAGTACATAGGGCACTGGTTAACAAAAGTTAAAAAAAAAAAATTATATCCAGACTGTATAGTGGGGATAATTGAGACAGAGTGAAAATTTAACAGGGTAGAAATCCATTTGGATTTAGGTGAAATGTGCCGCTTTGAGCTTGCTAGCATAAGTAAAATATGCTGTTTAGTCTGGTAACTGCAGCACTAGCAAAGTTGCCCTAGCTAAGGAGAAAGAATGCAAATTTCCACACTAAAAAGATAAGAAATAAGAAATAAGAAAGACTTCTAGGACCTTGAAACAGACAGGGCAGAGTGACCCAGGAGTTCTTTCTGTACTTTCTGACAAAAACTGAGTACAAGTGTAACTAGCTGTAAGTGTAACATGAAATCAGCAGAACGAATATGCATGAACCTATTGTGAAATTGTATGCATATGGAAATTAATTAAGGGTAATAAAAAAGGATCAGGAGTTCTCAGGGGTGCACATGCCCTTTGAAGGGAAATCCCTGAGTGCACCCGGCACTGTAATAAAAACCATACTGTTCCCTAAAAATCTTTATTAGAGTTGTGGGGTTTTGATTTTTCATTCATCTTTCATTATCACTTTGCCCCCTCCTCGAACTAAAAGGGAAGTCAGGCAGTGGCTGGGACTTCTAGGATACTGCAGGCAATGGATTGAGGGATACAGCGAGAAGGTAAGGTTTCTTTATGAAAAGCTTACTGCAGATAGGCTAAAATGGACCAGAACAGGATGAAGAGGGTTTCAAAGAACTGAGGGAAACCCTCATGGCAGCTCCGGTGTTGAGCCTCCCTGATGCAAAGAGACCCTTTCAGCTGTTTGTGGACGTCAGTAATCACACTGTTCATGGACTATTAACTCAGGATTGGGCAGGGGCCAAGAAACCGGTGGGATATGTATCAAAACTTTTAGACCCTGTAAGCAGGGGTTGGCTTATGTGCTTGCAAGCAATTGTGGTGGTGACAATATTGGTAGAAGAGGCTAAGAAGGTGACCTTTGGGGCACCATTGGTAGTTTACACCCCACACAGTGTAAGGAGCATTTTGCAGCAAAAGTCAGACAAGTGGATGACTGATGCCAAACTTCTAAAATATGAGGCTATTTTATCCCCTCTCGGGATTTGGAACTGCGAACAACCTCGGCACAATATCCCACCCAGTTTCTGTTTGGGGAAGCCACAGGAGTGCCTACCCATGATTGTGCTGAAGTGGTGACACTGCAAACCAAAATAAGATAAGATTTAGAAGTGGAAGAATTAGAAGAAGGGGAAAAGTGGCTTGTAGATGGTTTGGCAAGGGTCATAGATGGGAAAAGGAAATCAGGATATGCAGGGTTAAATGGTATAACAGGGGAAATAATAGAATCAGGATCCCTGAATGCCGGATGGTCAGCGCAAGCTTGTGAATTGTATGCAGTATTAAGAGCTCTGTGGAAATTAGAAGGGGAAAAGGGAACGATCTTCACAGATTCAAAATATGCACTTGGGGTGGTACATACTTTCGGGAAGATCTGGGAAGAAAGAGGGTTACTCAATACGCGGGGATGGGAATTGGTGCATGAGGAAATGATCAGGCATATCTTAGAAGCTATAAAGGGGCTGAAGGCAATTGCCATAGTCCATGTGAAAGGGCACCAAACAGGAATGCAGTTCAAGACTCAGGGAAACAACTTATCAGACAAAGAAGCTATAAGTGTGGCTTTACTGAAGGTAAGTACCCCAGAAATCAAAGAAGGGGAGGTCCAGGAATATCCCCCACACCCTTCCCCAAAAGAAACTGAGAGGTACGAAAAGATAGGAGGCCAGCTAGAAGGCGTAAGTGGAAATTGCCCGATGGGAGGGAGCTGTTGTCTAAAGATTATACCAGAAAAATCCTAAGGAGACTACATCAGCAGACACACTGGGGACCCCAGGACCTAGCGGAGCAATTCCTGAGATTCTTCGTGTGTAAGGAGATTTATGAATTGGCGAAACAAGAGGTGCAAGGGTATATGATTTGCCAAAAAGTTAATCGGGCAAGGACATGGCAAGTGGCATTGGGAAGTTGCCCAGCAGCTTATCGGCCTTTCGAAAGAATTCAGGTAGATTTCACTGATCTGCCTAAGGTGGGGAGATAAAAATTTCTATTGGTAATAGTGGACAAATTAACCCACTGGGTAGAAGCCCTCCCAAGCTCTCGTGCTACGGCTCAGGCAGTATCAAAATTTCTATTGGAAGAAATAATGGGTTAGTAAAATGCATAGATTCTGATCAAGGCACACACTTCAACTCGAAAATTATTAGACAACTAACCGGGGATCCGGTGGGAATACCACACCCCGTGGCATCCTCATAGCTCCGGGCAAGTCGAGAGAATGAATCAAACACTAAAGGCTCAATTGGCTAAATTGATTTTGGAAACAAAAATGTCCTGGTTAAAATGCTTCCCCTTAGCCCTGCTAAATATTCGGACCATGCCTCATTCTGAGACTGGGCTGTCACCCTTTGAAATGCTATAAGGGATGCCCTACAAACATGGCATGCCGGTGGGGCATCCAAGGATAGAAGATGGACAGATACAGCCGTATCTCATGTCCATGAAAAAGAATCTGCAGGAATTGAGGAAGCAGGGAGTGATAACGTAAAGTACCCCCTTGTGTTTCTCCATACATAAAGTGCAACCTGGGGACAAGGTGCTCGAAAAAACTTGGAGAGAGGGTCCTTTGTCCCCTCACTGGGAAGGCCCTTTTCTTGTCCTCTTAACTACAGACACAGCAATACGAACAGCAGAAAAGGGTTGGACACATGCTTCTCGAGTGAAGAAGGTGGGGACCCTGGAAGAGGCACCAGAGTGGAAAGTCACCTCCCCCTGGAGACCTGAAGTTAACCCTGCGTCAGCCAAGTAAATGACTGATAGGGATCTGATAAGGTGCACTGAACCAGGTTGTGGTTGTTATCCGTTTGTGCATTTTAAGTGTGAATACTGTAACGAGGTTTGGGTGGTACAGTGTATAAGGGGATTCTGGCCAAAGGGCTTGTGTAGCTCTTATGCAGGAAATTGCAACTGAATTTGGGCTACCTAACTGTTGGATTTGCAGGGGGCTCAAGTCTGCTGAAAAGTGGACTTGGAAAGGTGAGAGTTTAGCTCCAGAGCAACTCCTAAAATGGGGTAGTGCTAAAACATCAAGGGTAATTCAGAGACCTGAGGGGTGGGTCCTAGAAAAAAGGGTAATTGGGACATTTTGCATTAGCAGGGAGGGAAAGGAATATACTGATGGAGTAGGATACACTCCGTGTATGTCCACTTTAACGGTAAACTCCTTTAACAAAAGCAGGACCTGGCAACCAGAAAAGCCTGCAGGGTACTGGAGCCAGGAAAAAGGGGCTAAATGTGAATGGAATGATAAAATCGGATTATGTTGGAACAAAGGCTCTGGAGATAACCCCTACCAACCATTAGACGAATTAAGGGGGTACTGGCACGAACCCAAAACCACAAA